GGACACTGTTTTTTTGAAAATTTGTTATGCCTAAAGCCTTTGTATTTTATAAGAGCTCAAAGTCATAATTGGAAATGGTAGCTTATGAAAGTAGAGAGTGCCTTGGGGTTTGCTGAAATCATTTCCTGTCAAGTGTTCTGGTTGCCTATTTCTGCATCTGTGTTCAGGAAAATACTGTCCTTAGTTTAAACCTTCATTTTTCCAGTATTCTCTTAGTTGCAACTGAGAGGATGCTCATTGTATTTAGTAATGGCATATATAGGTATATTTGTCCACATCACTTGAAGACACTGAAATTTGTAGTCAGGACCACTGAGGCTTGGTGTCATAGCTGCTGCAGTGTGCCACAAGGCTGTACAAGTCACCAGGATAGGCTGTCCTATATAATTACTAGTGTTTCATTCTGAACTTTCCCTCTCTCCTCTCTCCCTTGAGGCATCCCCCCAGTCTCTCTGTTTCTCCTCCTCCACCTCCTTATCATTTTCCTTTATTGGAGCTGACTATAGAAAAATCAGCAATTATTCATAAACATCCATTAATGAGTTTCTGCCCTCACCGTAATATATAATTTTTTTCTGTGGAAAACATATTGAACGTTAACAGCTGCATAATTTGAGTATATCTCAATTTAGAACAAAGCTTAGAAGAACTAAACAGAAACAGGTAATGAAATATTTTTATAGGTAAGAATTGTGTCAGGCAAAGAGTAAGGGCATGAAAATCACTAGAAGCAAGAATAAAGAATTATTTTCTAGCTAGATAGTCCCTGGAAATAGTTATTACTAAAGGCATTCCAGTAGGTAAAAGAAAAGCAACACTTGTTTCCTTTGACTAAGAGGTAACATGTGAGAATAACAGATAATGTACAACCTAAAGGCAAGGAAAGTGTAAGGGACAGCTAATCATTTTGGGGTTAGCACATCACTTTTGGCATATTCTGTTCATAAAAATGAGCCATTGATCAATGACACACAATGAGTGTTTAAAAAGGACATAAACTTGGCATGTCAGGGATACTGGGAGACACTGGGGAAGCTACTAGCCAATGTTAATATTACCATTACTAGTTTCATAACTATAAATAAGGTAATTAAAGAAATGATCCTGCGATGATATTTATGGATGAAGGATAGTCAATGAATGGGTACATACAATAGTTAGATATCACATGAGGGATAGAGGTATCTAGGAGCCACATATTTGACAATGAAATTATTGCAAGCTTTCTCAATACAATTCTATTTCTCACTAGAGTCCATTGAAGAGTTTTTTTCCTATTTTTAATTTTATTTTTAAATTTAAATTTAAATTAGACCCAAGATTGCTTCACATGTCAATTCCAGGTCCCTTTCCCTTTCCCTCCCCTCCTCCCATGCCCTCCCACCAACCCCTACAATATCTCCTCATTTCCCCAGGGAGGTTGAGGCCCTCCATAGGGGTGTCCATAGCCTAGATCCTCCCCCAAGATTCCAGGGTGAGAGTGGATTTGTCATTGTTGGATGGGAGCCCAAAGTCCATTTGTGTACCCGGGATAAATATTGATCTACTACCCAAGGCTCAATAGATTACCTAGGCCTCCTCACTGACACCCACATTCAGGGGGTCTTGATCAGTCCCATGCTGGGTTCCCAGGTATCAGTCTGGGATTCAAGAGCTACCCCTTGACAGGTCAGCTGTTTCTGGGGGTTAAACCATCCCAGTCTTAACCCCTTTGGTCATCAGTCCTCCCACTCTGTCACTGGATTTCTTGAATTCAGCTCAGTGCTTAGCTGTGGGCGTCTGCCTCTGCTTCCATCAGCCACTGAATCAGGAACAAGATAAGGCTGTCCACTCTCTCCATACCTTTTCAATATTGTACTTGAAGTTCTAGCCAGAGCCATATGACAACAAAAGGAGATCAAGGGGAAACAAATTGGAAAGGAAGAGGTCAAACTTTCAAAATTTGCAGATGACATGATAGCTTACATAAATGACCCAAAGAACTCTACCAGGGAACTCTTACAGCTGATTAACACCTTCAGCAAAGTGGCAGGCTACAAGATCAACTCAAGAAAATCAGTAGCCCTACTATATATAGATGATAAAAGGGCTGAGAGAGAAATCAGAGAAACATCACCCTTTACAATTGCCACAAACAACATAAAATACCTTGTGGTAATGCTAACCAAACAAGTGAAAGACCTGTATGATCAAAATTTTGAGTCTTTAAAGAAAAAAATTAAAGAAGCCCTCAGAAATTGGAAACATCTCACATGCTCTTGGATAGGTAGGATCAATGTAGTAAAAATGGCAATCCTGCCAAAAGCAATCTACATATTCAATGCAATCCCCATTAAAATACCAGCACAAATATTCACAAAACTTGAAAGAACAATATACAATGGAAAAAAGAAAGCATCTTTAACAAATGGTGTTGGTACAACTGGATGCTGGCATGTAGAAGAATGCAGATAGATCCATGTCTGTCGCCATGCACAAAACTTAAGTCCAAGTGGATCAAAGACGTCAACATAAATCCAACCACACTGAACCTATTAGAAGAGAAAGTGGGCGGTACCCTGGAACGAACTGGTACAGGAGACAGCTTCCTGAACATACCAGTAGCACAGACAGTGAGATCAACAATTAATAAATGGGACCTCCTGAAACTGAGAAGCTTCTGCAAGACAAAAAGGCAGCCCACAGAATGGGAAATGATATTTACTAACTCCACATCTGACAGAGGGCTTATCTCTAAAATTTACACAGAACTCAAGAAGCAAGTCTCCAAAACACCAAAGGATACAATTAAAAAGTGGGCTACAGAACTAAGTAGAGAATTCTCAATAGAGGATTCTAAAATGGCTGATAGGCACTTGAGAAAGTGCTCAACATCCTTAGCCATCTGAGAAATGCAAATCAAAACAACTCTGAGATACCATTGAAGAGTTTTAATTGTAGCACCAATCATATATATATTTTATACGCAGAAAAAAATATGGGCTCCGTTTTATTTAAAATGGGTGCTAAGGGGCAAATGTAAAAAGGAAGCCCATTTAAAATGGTAAGTGCATGGACTCCCTAGTAGACAAACTTCCTGTGGTTTCCAGTAATGGCCATGAACAGGAAAACTGATGGATAAAATAGATGCATTGTTCATATTGAGTTGTCTGGGAGAGTATTTGGTACAGGAAAAGAAAATCAAACAAAAGAAATCAGTGCTACCCAGTGCCTTTGGTTAAAATACAGATGGAATGGATAGCCTATTAGGAAGAAGACAAGAAACGGAGAGATTCACTTAAGCCCTTTACTTGTCAATGATGTTTAGTTTGATAAAGTGTAAGGCATTGATTCCAGCTGGGAAACTGCCTGTAAGTCTTCTGGTTAGTGGTATTCTTCTGAGGTATAGATGATCACACAAAGATTATCACAAAAATGACTTAATTATAGTACTAAAGGTGTATCTTGTATAGGAATTCCATCAAGGAGGCTGTACACTCACAGGTGTACTTGAATACTGATGCACTTCTGTTACCAAACTGGGAAACACATTCCTTCAAAATATCATCTTGTAGCTTTCATGACTTTAACACTAGCTTGGTCTTGTCTTTTAAGTGTGGGTAAATAAATGAGTGATCAAATTGTCTCATAATCCAAATATGACATTTACATGAAGAATAAAATCATTTCCCCATTTTTGTGTCAATACTGTTTGCTCTTTTGATGTCAAAATTTACAGTTTATAGAAATCAAGATTATAAAAACATGCTTATTTAATTTTAATTTGGAGTAGCACATTCAGTTTATGAATACACAGCATTTGTTGGTTTTATTTTAAATGTAAAATATACACCTTAAATATATGAATGCAGAGGTTTCAAAAATGTAATTTCAATAGCAATATAACTCACAAAATAGTAATTCAAAATTATATGTAATAAAATATAAAATAAAACTAAGACTGATGGCATGGTGTTATAATCCCGCATACTAAAGAGGCTAAGACAGATGATCATGAGTTCAAGGCCAGTATGAACTTCATAGTTTGTACAAAGCTACCCCTGGAAGTTTAGCTGGACACAGCTAAAGATTGGTGCTGTAAGATGTTTGTGTCTTCATGGAGGTTATGACTTCCATGTCCCATGGTTGTTATTGATTTTCATGTTAACTGGATCCAAAATAACATTTACAAAGTAGCATAGCTTCAAAACATAAACAAAAAGTACCATGGCTTCAGAATATAAACAGCAGATTCATTTTTTTCACAGTCCCAGATAATGGAAGCATAGGATCAAGTTGTCAACAGATTTAGTTTCTGCATGGGTTCTCTAGCTTGCGGACTTCTGCCTCTGGCTGTGTCCTCACATAGCCTTTTCTTTTGCCTAGTGAGGAAAAATGTGTTCATTGCTTTGTTATTCATCTTTTCACTTGGATATGGGTCCTACATGTAGGGCTGGTTTTGAGTCAAATATGTGTGTCTCCTTCAACTTTACATGTTGAAACCTAATCACCAGTCTGATGATATGCTAAACAATTGCCTTGGAAAGTGATTATGACATAAGGGTGGAGGTCTAATGAATAAGATTAACACCCTTACTAAAAGATCCTCAGGTGTCCTGCCTTTTCCATTACTGACAAATGGTGATAGCCATGAAGCGTCCTTCATCAAATGCTTGAATCTATATTGTATCGTTTTGGTTTCTTTCAAATTTCAAAATGATGATAAATATATTTCTGCTATTTCCAAGTTATTCTGTCTATGTTGTTTGTTACAGTAGTGCAAAAAGACTAAGGTAGATCACATATATTCACATCTCAAATAAAAAGGTCCAGAGATACCATTTCTAAATATAGTCACTGCAGTTAAACCATGGTTTATTTACTGACAATATATTTTGGAAGTCACTCTTTGTGGTCTTATGGATTAAAAACTAAACAATACCATACTAATTCTACAGAAAAGTGTCTGAAGTTGATAGGAAGCCAAAAAACAAAGCAAGCAAACAAAACCTTGCATTAACCTCACAGAGTGGAAGAAACTGGGTTGTGGGGTATTTGTCAGGCCTGGACCTTGAAGGTGTATCTTCATATGTAGACATCTGTGTAAAGAAAGAGAGAATATTGGCATGGGTTGCATGAGCAATGCATTGTAACAACAGCAACAGTAAAGAAGAGTTGAGAAAGATATCAAGTCCTCTTAGAGTGTATATTTTAAGTGACAGCATTCTACTACAGTCCTGATTCTGTTGCTCCACTTTTGATTCTATAGTCCCAACATAGTTACTTTAGAAAGTATCGTGACAATATCTATCCACTATATAGAATTCTTCTTGATATCACTCCTTGCAGGAATACAGGGAGAAATTTTTAGAGCTGGAACTTAAGAAGGGAAAAAAGTTCATAGAATTGCTGCCATCAATAGTCATTCAGAAATATGAATTACCCTCAGCACTTACAAATGGCTATTTGATATATCCTTAGAGACTCATACTATATGATTGCCTACTTCTCTCATTTATTTCCTCCAGCATCAATTAGGTTTGATAAAGCATAAAAAACTGAATGTCACATTTGGCATGTTTCTGGATGACTGCATTGATTTTTTTGGCTTGTGGATAAATTCAATTACATGCAGCATTCAGAAATTCCTGTAATTGTAATTTTGTTGGATCTCCTCACTCAATAACTTCCCAATTTCCTAATCTTCTGTAAGGTCGAAGGTGGCAGAATGTAGAGCAATTTTTTAAAGCAGTACATGAGTAAAATCCAATATCTAATAGCAGGCAAAGCAAATGCCATTATGCACACAGCATTCGGCCTTTAAAATTCATATTAATTGCAAAGTACCATCTGCTCAAGTTCCATGGGTCTGTGGTACCTTAAACCTGGGACACATCATTTAACAAATGAAGGCTGCAAGCTTGCCCATATGGATACTTCAGAATTTGAAAATTACAAATTTAAGTGAATGAATTATGAGTTCTTATAAGATAATTTTAAATTATCAAATTGAAAATTATTGTGATGATGTAAAATTTAGAATGGTCCAGATATCGTTCACATATTCAAAGTTGAGCAAAGAAGGTTTTATTTCTGGTTTAAGGATTGAGAGGCAGGGAAAAAGAGAAGTAGTGGAGGGATCAGGAGAACTAGAGAATAGAGTACAGCAAATGAAGGAAGGGAGAGAGAGAGAGACAAAGACAAAGATAGAGAGAGACAGAGAGACCAAGAGGAGGAGACAGAGAGACACAGTAACAGAGAAAGGTTATTAAGAATAGCTATAAACACACAACCATATTATAGAAAGTGCTATAAATGCATGTCTCCTTTTACCTTATTAGCTATGGTACATTGCCATCCTGATGGTCTATACTTAACTGCTATTCCATACCTGTGTCAATAATAATGTGCTGTGGAATACATTAAGAAAATATACTGCTTTCGGCTTATTACCGTGTGGGAGAAAAGAGTCATGAGGAAGGACACACATTTTAGCAACAGACAGATATTTCTAGAACATATTATGACTATGTAAGAATGGATCCAGGACAAGATACAGGATCAGAAGCATGAACAGGCAATAGACTGCAATTAGGAGGCATTATGTCAACTTGTCCTGGAGGATATGGAGACTCTCAAAAGGATTTAGCATAGCCATTCATTCCATTATAATTGGTTTCTAATGTAATATTCATTCCCTTGTTAGCATCATTAAAACTATCTTTCTGCAATGGTGCAGTAAAAGGTAATAACAGGAGTTCTGGGAATCAAAGTGAAAACACTGGCTTGTGTAAAGTGAGACAAAAGGTGAGGTCTCTGGTAATGGGATCTCAAAACTCAGACTACAGCATAAGGAAGTGCTGTTTATAAAGTAGTTTATAAAGCTCCTTAGCAAAATAGTCTTAGCAGGAGTCAATGAGTGGCAGAAGCACAGCACTGTTGTAAAGAGTTTGGTGTGCAATTGACAGATTTTCTTTTCAAGTCACGTACACATCAATTTCTGATGTCATGCATGGCTTTTATTTGATCTTACTATCTTTGAGGACACACTTGCTATTTTGGTTAATCATGTCCAAATTTCATATCCAAGGTTGCACCACTTCAGCATGAAATTCCTAATTGCCACAGACTCATAACTTAAAGCAGCATTTAAGGATCTATCAGATTTCAAAAGTCTAGAAAGATGTGCCATGTGAGTGGTTCACCTTCTCTATGATGGTCTTTGCATAAATTAGAATGTCAGCACCTAGAGAAACTGAGGCCTGCATGATTAGAATAGCTGCATTGGGGAAATATTTGAGTTGTCTTGTATTTTGTAGTTTGTTCCTATGAAGCAGAATGCTTCATGATCTTCTGTGATATCAGTGTATAAGAAGGCACTGAGCTCCCAGTGTCCTCCAACCCACTCCTCTCACATTTTTGCCCACAGAACCACTTAGTGTCATTACCTATGAGTGAGCATTAAATATCATGTTAGTACTGATTCTTTTAGAAAGTAAAACAAACATTCAAAACTTGCATGAACATGATTTAAAAGTACTAGGAAAGTCTACTAGAACTCATACAAGTTTTAAGAACAAACAAATATTCAAAACTAAAAGAAAAACTGTCATTATATTGGAGATTTAAAATAGTGTATTCAGTTTAATAAAGAATAATATGTATTCATTTTCCTCTCCATTTATATAATTTATATGATATTTTATTTGAAATATTATGACTTGTCAACTTAATTTATAAATAATAGCAAATATGCTACACATTCTATAGAAAACACCATTGTATATACATTAGAAAGCAAAATTAGGTAAAACAAACTGTATATCATCAGTGTTAATATCCTGGCCTTACAGAGAAACTCCGTAAATTGTTCTTGTCTCGGAAAAGCAAATATCTACACCTACAAACACAAGCACACATAGGCATATACATGCACATACACACATGCACACACATACTACACATACACCTAAATACATACATCTACATGCACACACACCTAAACACAAGTACACATATGTACACACACCTACACACAAGTACACACACATGCATACACACACACACACACACACACACAGTACAACAGTGAGATACTAAATATGTCCTCATGGGGAGGACATCATCAGTTAGAACCAAAGATTACATTTAGAAAGAATAGACTTTTGAGGTCCCAGTTGGAAGAATATTTGGTTTTATTTTGTTGTTATTGTTAGAATATGTAAATGTTGTAGCTGAATTCAAGCTTTGCTGACCAGAATGTACATGGTTCAAAATAACCAACCCCAGTGATTGCTTTCTACGAAATAGTCTCCTAGGGACATGATCAGAACACTTGTCTACACAGTTGTCCTTTGCCACATAACTTGAAATTTTCAATAGGATGCCTTTATCTACTTTAGTAAACAGTGAAGAATAGACACTCACAAAGCTCAACTCATCAAAGGGAACACAAAGCAAGCACTAGATTGCTAGCCATCCCTGACATAAGAAGTCCTGGAGCACAACAAAAAGAGTCCTTACTGAGCTAACCGTGTGTCATGTCAGTCATTCACTGATTATAGATACAAACGGGAAAAAAAAGAGTTTGCACCATCATATTCTTCTCATTGTTCCTACTGTCAGTTAAGTCATATTTTAACAATCTTTTGGTTTGGCGTCATTATCATAGCCTGTATATATCTATCTTTCTTATCAATCGTTTTTGGTGCTTCTAGAATTAACACAATATAAAAGTCTAATAAATATGGTAATATTTAAAATCGTCATCTGTATTCTCTGTTTCCATGATAAATGCCAGTCTTCTTACTTTGTGCTCACTTTTTTCCACTCATTCCTGTTCATGTAAACAATTTCCAGAAGCATTCCCTTCCTTAAGGCATGTTTAGCTACTCAAAATAAATCTTCCCTGCCAACCCCACCTCACCCCCCATTGTTGCTTGTTTTTTTTTTTTTTTATTCTTTGGACTCTCTGGGGGGTCAGCATTAGCTTGGCTTGTTTCTAACCATCCTTTCTCAAATTATCCCACCTTTTGCCTCTGGGCTTTTTGTTATGTTTTGCTTTTTTGAGACAGCCTTTCTCTGTATTGTTTTGGAGGCTGTCCTGGAACTCGATCTGTAGACCAGGCTGGCCTCAAACTCACAGAGATCCACTGGCTCTACCTCTTGAGTGCTGGCATTAAAGGCATGTGCCACCAACACCTGGCTTGCCTCTGGACTTTTATTTTCGTCTATTCTATATACCTTTCTTTCCTTCTCACTCAATGTCTTTACTGTGTAGCTGGGTGGTTGGACCCTGGTATTCTCTCTCCTCTTTCTCCCGTTCTTGCTCTCTGGTCTTCTCTCCCCAGATTTCTCTTCCCATTTATTCTCTCTGCCTGCCTGCCCCACCTATCCTTTCCCCTGCCTAGCTATTGGCCATTCAACTTTTAATTAGGCCAATCGGGTGTTTTAGACCTGAAAAGTAACGCAGGTTCAGAGAGTTGAACAAATGTAACATAAAAGAATGCAACACTCAGGTAACACACTCCCTTCCACAGTTTAGCACCCTTTCTTCCTCTCCCAAATGGGCAAGGCAGCAGAGACAAACTCCTCTATGGTGATAGAAACAAGTCTTCACAAGAAGAATTTTTGACATGGTAACAAAGGTAAAACTGAAATTTAGGAAGAACTCTTAACAGGTGTGTAAAACATCAGGCTTCCTGGTGCACATAATGAGCTCTAGTGAGGGACAGTCTCTAAAACGACTGAATGAAGGAGGAAAGCAAGGCAGTTTCTTAACATACAGTAAACGTCATCTGTTTCAACCTAAGAAATGACTTAATCAGAAGATTGAGAATGATGTATGCAGTAGTGGCACATGTCTTTTTTGTGTGATGTTTTTTATTTAAATTAGAAATAAGCTTCTCTTACATGTCAATCCTAGTTCCCTCTCCCTCCCCTCATTCCCTGCCCCCCACCAAACCTCTATCCCATACCCTTTCTGATCTCCAGGGAGGGTAAGGCCTTCCATAGAGGATTTTCAAAGTCTGCCCTATCATTTGGAGCAGGACATAGGCCCTCCCCCATGTGTCTAGGATGAAAGAGTATCCCTCTATGT